TGCTTAACTATGTAAGGTAGATCTATGTAATGACAGCCGCTGTATGTGTGCTCTTGTGATTTGATTGGCATGTGTCACGCATGTCTCTCATTGAGGAAAAAGAAAAATGAAGCATTGAAGCGCGGTGATTCATGCTGCGCTGCTCTGTTTAATGTCTCGCCGAGATCTAATTACAGCCGCTCAGAATCTCGCTCCCCGCTTTTAATTAACACGCCCAAGAATAGGGAAATGGAGCAAAAATGTAAAATTAATTGAATGGAATTTGTAATTCAAACTCAGAGTGAAAGAAGAAGGAGGAGAGGAGATCAAATACGAGTCTGTACTTTTAAGAGTCGGCTCCCCTGGGGTTTGTGTTTCAAGGTTTGTGTATCGTGAGTCTACAGAGGGGCCACGGCCTCCATTTTCCAAATAAAGAATCGGATTTAAGCTTTATATAGAACAGAATAATGATGTTGATTCTTGCAGAGAGAAATAGTCTTTTAATAAGTGAGGGCTGGTAGCAAGGGGCACTCTCAAGGCTGCAGAGCCGGGATTAATGCAGCAGGCATCATTTATAGAGGAATCACTCACGCTCACTCATTGATTTCACCCAACAGGTTCACTAAAACATACACCAGTTAAAGGACTTTATTCTGTTTAACTTATGTTGACAAAGTGCAGTTTGTTACATTTTCCAATAATTAATGGAAATAAATACTTCTTTGAGAAACATAAAATACTGTCTTTACAATACTGATATCAATAAAAGGGTCAGAAGCATCAATAGATGTGCTTTGAGAGGATTATGAAGTGTATGAAAGCAAAACATCACTGGTCACAGAAACGGTGTCATTAATATGGTTATCAAGTAATCAAAGTGACAAACTGCATATTCAAGATCATTTAACTTTTTATAGCCACTTTATGTCTCGTTCAGTCATTACGCTGATGTATTGGTCAAAGCCGATAAGAGGGACAGCATATTTGTTTTACTATTAGTAAACATGCTGAAGTACAGCAACCAATAATCGGTGTTGGAACAGGGATTAAGATATGTTGGCAGTAAAAGTAGCAATACGACACAGTAGAAATACATTTGTTTGAAATTGGAAGTATCTTAAAATGTAGTATGTTACGTATGTTTAATATTGGTGTAACAAATTATGTCAATAAAGTTATACAATTATAATTAATGTGGTTAAGTGATATTATATTTTGTCTAAAAATATATTGTATATGTCAAAAAAGTAAATGTATAGTATTTAAAAAATGTATTTAAAAAGTAATATTATAGTATTTAGAAAAATAGTACAAAAAAGTTTTAGTATTGAATGTGAAAAAGGTCATTGTATAGCATGTAAAAAAAACCGTCATAGCATGTTAAAACTAGTATAGTATGTAAAAAATTCATAAGTCATAGTATATGAAAACATCTTTAAAAGACATACTATAGCATGTCTAAAAAATAATGAAAAAATGACATGGTATAGAATGTCAAAAGAATGCATAGTTCGATAAAAGTGATAAGACATAGAACAGCAAGTTAAAAAAAGTAATTGAATAGCATGTTAAAAACAGTCATAGTATAGTATGTTTTGAAAAGCGAAAGTAGTTACATAGCATAGTTTGTCCAAAAAGTCATGAATGGATCATAGTATAGCATGTCAAAAGAAGTGATAAAGTCATAGTATTGTATGTTGAAAAGAGTCATAGTATCGTTTGTTGAAAAGTTATTAAAAAAAGTCCTAGTATGGTATTCCAATAAAAAAGGTCACTGTATGGCATGTCAAAAAAGGTCACAGTATGGCATGTCAAAAAAGGTCACAGTATGGCATGTCAAAAAAGGTCACAGTATGGCATGTCAAAAAAGGTCACAGTATAATAAAATAAGAAAGAAAAAAACTTGTAGAGGTGCAACGGATCTTAAAACTCACGGCTCTGATCGTATCACGGATCGGCACAAAAGAAAAAAGGGAGCAAATATAACATTTAAAGATCCCTGATCATGTTTTTTTGCTGCCGACACTTATTACCGATCATTGATGATGTTGGCCATGTTAGCAGATACAGATCCCCGAGTTGTTTGATTATGGCAACTGGTCTTTTTTGCATCCGTCCCAAAAATCATTTCAACCACTCCGAAGTTAGTGTTAACCAAAAATAAATCGAAACGTTATCCTTTTACTTTGTTCTCGTCATTTTTTTTTTTCATCCTTTAAGGAAATAAAAGATTGTATTTTTTATCTATTAATACAAATGTCATTAGTAGTTTTAAGGTAATTTAAAAAGTCATCAGACCCCAAGGACACCCTGTATAATGTACCTAACTCTGTACTTGGGTGTGCATTACCAACCACAATAAAATACACATTCCATAAATGTTTGTATTTGAACAAAATATTTTCTTTATTCTGCAGATAAACGTACATTAGTTCAGCTCAGAAACAAATGTAGAATCTACAACCAACAAACGTTTGCAACCAATACGAGAAAGTAAAGTGAACTGTGATCGGCAAAAACCATTTGAAAGACAGGATACCAAGAGAAGCCGTTAGCAGGTATGGCAGAAGGCAACACTGAGAAAGAGACCGACTACAGTCATTCAAACAGCTGTTCAGGAGGACATCAGTGTCTGAACTTTGAGTTGCTGGGTGTTTGGGCCTGTTCACAGCAAAGTTCAAATAAAGTTCAAGTCATTCAAATGAAATCAGACGATAGTCATTATCAATGTAGGTTTGCGTCAAGATGAAATTCTGGGAACTTTACACAGAAATTTGTGCCATTGAACAACAGCAAACTGCCTTGACACTTGACCTTTGAGGTGATCTAACAGTTAAAAATAAAATAATCTTCAGCTAATCAGTGTTGCAAAGGTCTTCTGCAACGGTGCACAATGCACCTGAAGAGCATCGTTCACCAGTTTAGTATATTTGCTCCCATTGCTGCAATCAGACATGAACTACATCTGTGACATTTGGGAAAGGTTTAATAATAAGGACAACAATATTCCAAGCCCAATGTTACCAAAACATGTCTGTATTCAGGGTCCTCTCTCTCAGTGTTACGCTGGTATGGCTTTATACAACTGACACAAACAGAACTGGAACTTGTTGCGGCTGTAAGCGGTGATGTTAAACTTGCTATATCAAATTCAGATCGGAATACACCATAAACAGACAAATAACAGTTGTTTTTTCAAAGACATCTTTTTTTACCTTTTTTCTTTTATACACAAAAAAAACAACAGTCAAGAGTACCAAATATGCATGCTGGATCTGTACGTATGTCAAAAAAGGGGGAAGTGGGAGAGGGGGGGGGCATATACACTTTTATTTAAAATCTTTTTTTAAGTTAGTTTATTTTAAAAGTCCTTTATTTTCATATATAAGAAGTTGTTACTCCTCGAAGCTGTGCTGGGTACTGTGATCAGATAAGCAGTGGTGAGAACGCAACACGACTCCTCGCTGACCTATTCAAACCTGGCTGCAAATAAAACTTTGCAGAACCGCTTGAGGGCGAGTAGTAATATTTGTAGTAACGGAAAGTAGTAGAACGGTAGTAGCGGAACAGCAGACGGTTGCTATTTCTAACAGCCCACGGGTGGTAGTGAGTATAAACACTCAGAAAAATGTACCAGTAGGCTTATTGTTAGAGACTGCACCTTTGTTTGAACCAAAAGTTCTCTTTATCTTCTGAGAGGTGAACCTAAGCCTGTTTCCTGGAATTATTTGAGTTCGAGTATTCCAATGTGAAAACTCAACTAAACAGTCAGTAAAAGTAAACTTGACAAAACAGATATTTTGGTTTGTCCCACTAACCCTTATCTTCTTCCTGCCTGATCTTAGTACTACGACTACGAGTGGCGCCCTGCCCATTCACAAATATCTGGGAGTGGATGCACCTGAGGGTAAACATGCACCCCTCCATCAAGAACCCCTGGCTGACGGAAAAGGGAATATTGCATGTTGTGGTGGAGTGAGACACGGAGGGAAATCGTCCTGCAGAAACCTCAAATCTGTAAGTGTTGAATTCATCCGACGTTAAATCATCAGAAACATCCATTTAACGCTTTAAAAAAAATAGTTATTAAAAATATTGTTGTCCCCGTTTACATGGAGCAAGCTGCTGTAGTCGGAGGTTTTGCCTTCAAGATAAAATTTGATTTTGGTACTTCTTTTGGAAGTATCATAATCAAACATGAGGATGAATAGGATGGGGTTTTAAAAAAAAACACCAAATGCTGAAAGAAGTTATTCTTATCAAATCAGTGTCAAATTAAACTGATAAATGTACGGAGCCCCCAAGGTTCCAAAAAAAAAAAAAAGATCCAAAATACACATTTGTTCTTGAGATCTCTGCAGGACATTTTCACAACGGATATAGAAAAGTTTCAAATTGCAAACCAATCCAAACTCCAGCTATGGCCATCATGTGCAAATATATGAAGTAGCACGAGTGAGAAAGTTGTGACTTTTGGTAGTTTTCTTTTAAATCCTCAAAAGAAGTCAGTTCATACCAACGGCACACAAACTGAAGAGTGCAGATGAAGTTAAATCTGATTTGATTTTACATCGGGACATCATTGAACAAGGATTTTAAGGACACATCCTTCCTGACGTGTCACAAAAGTACCTGTTTAAAACAACTGAACAGATCAACCAACACAATCCTAGCTAGCTGTACGGGACACTCATTCACGCAACATGGTTTTTATCTGTTGTGATATCAAGGCTATGGAGATTAAAACATCACTGAAACATCCATTTCCAATGATCAACAACTGAAGGATTAAGAAGAACTGAAATCTTTGGTCTTGATGTTTCGGGGGGGTGGGGAGAAAGATGAAAACAGTCAAAAGAACAGCGACACCGACTCAAAGCAACCCTTCAAAATGTAACATCTTTTAGCTTTATATATATATATATATATATATATATATAATCCGTGTAAATGTGACTCATGATGCACACGCAGACATCACAGGTTAATATGAAAACAATTCTCTTGTAGATGATAATGTGTGCAATTTCAGACAAAAGCCCTCTGTGAAGGAAAAGATCCGAACATATCTCTGAGAAGTTTCAAAAAGCGCCTCCTTCCCTCCTAAAGTAGCTCTACGTTTGCCTGTAACCAATACTGTACATCTGTCATAAAACTCTAAAAACCTCGGCCCCTGCTCACCGTCAAACAAAAAGGGAACTCTTCCTTTTACCTTGTTATTTTTTCCTTTAATAAATGTATTTCATATAAAGACATTCAACAGTGAGCAATGCAATATACTTCAAGTAATAAAGTTAGGGATTTTTTGGAGTTCCATCAGAAAAAAACCCAACAAAAACAACCTTCAGACTGTGTGGTGATGAGGGGAAAGACTGAGATCCATTTGGTGATGATGCTGTGTCTAAGCTACAGGAAGCAATGAGGGACAAGCCTCGACACTTCAGAAGTCAAAGACGTGGGGATCTAGCTTAATCGACTGAGAGTGATTGAAGTATCAATGCAGAAAAAACCCTGATTTATTTATGTTTCTCTTTTCCTCTAAATCGCTGGTTTTGTTGTGTGATCGTTTCCACGGTAAACTTGAAACACCTGAGGGTTGATGAGCAGAAACGTTGTGAAGGAGACCTTAAATGTCTGCCGAATCGAAACAGGCCTGCATTTCCAGATAGCACCTTGAGTTGGGATCACCGTGTTTCCGTTAAGGTCAAACATGATTTGTGGTTCTTAAAAGAAAAGAAAAAAAAAAAAACCCCGCTTCGGACCCGGACTGATCTTTTTTGTACATTCAAGATTATATCGGCAAACCCCGCCTTGCTGTCCCCCTGAGAGTCCAAGAGAAAGAACAAAGACCACCGTCACTGAGGGACAGCAACAGATACAAAAGACCAAAAAAAAAAGGCTGAGTCCCAATTCAGAGGCAGATGAGTTTATAGGACGGCGGCTACATAGAGGAAGCCTAAACCTGGACCTCCTCAGCAAAGATCGTGTGCAGAGGATTGATAATTCTCTAACCACAGTGGGAATGATACCTCTGAGAAAAACACTGGATTTGCTCACCCTGAAACATCACGCTAATACTTGTAGCCACAGTTTGTGCGGAAGGAAAATAGATGGGAAACTGCCAAACGCAAACTTTGGATGCGTGTCGTGGCCCCCAACAAGACAAAGAAAAACAAGTCAAATAGCAGAAAACTATGTAGGAGCAGCAAACGTCAGAAATAATAAACAAGCTTGAGAAACTCCCTTCAGACAAGAACAAAGCAAAGTCGACAACATGGAAAAATGGCGACATTTATTTACCAATTCTTGCACGTCCAAAAATTGGACAAAAAGTCACATTTCTCGCCTGAATTCGACAACGGCCCCTGAAATAGGACGCAGCCAACATGTCACCCTATACACTGCAACTGTTGCAGACTGAACTATCTTTTCTAGAATATCAAGTGTTTTTGTTTGTAGCCACGAGGTTAACACTATTTTATTTTGTATAGACAAGTGTTTACCTTGATGTAAGGTTTTCCTGACATCATTGAGTTCAGTCTGTCGATGCAGCCTTTCTTCCTCCACACCTGCTTTAGCTCCAGTTAGGGGTGGCCGGCAGTGGGCGTCAAGCTCAATCCAATTTGGCCCGTCCTCACAAACAAAACGATCCTGTTGTTTTCTGCAGTCGTTGCGCTTTTGCTTTTACACAGTTACGCAAAATGTTCACGCAACTTTGTTTACTTTTAGTTTTTCTTTTGTGGCATCAATTTGAACAGTTATCACCAAAAGGTTTTTAGACAGAGTTGAGGTGGGACTGTTTGTATTTATACCTCATCTGTATTTTTTTGTGATTTTGCCAATTTAGCTTCCGTAGATGCACAAACATGTAGGATAACAGAAAGCAGTCATGCTGCACCAGTGTTACTAGTGATCTATTTTCAGAAATATTTGAGTAACCCTAGTTGACGTTAACACCAACTGATTTGCATTTTCTTTCGTCAACTTCTCAAAGAAGAACACTGAGGATCTTTTCATCATTTTGAGGTTAACGGGTCAAACTGGATTAAGTCCTGCCGGCATTAGGACACCTAAACCAGTTTAGGAGAGACCGCTTACCATCAATGGCTTTCAGGTCGACAAACCTTGCCTCCCACAATTCATCTACCTAATGTGAGCAGACTATAGAGGGTGTGTGGGGCTAGACAACAGTGAAATCGTCGGGGGAGGTTACTACACCGTCGGGTCTCGAAGAGGACATTGAAAACGGGGTTATAGATAAACACATGGGTACAACCAAGGTCGTTTCATTCCTTCACAAAGACTCCTCTGCAGCTCCTCAAACAATGACCCTCTTCCTACAACCTGATACACTCCTTCTGACATACCTGTGTGTGTGTGGCCCATACACTGATGATGGCTTATACCGTGAAAAACACTGCTGACAGAGAGGGAGAAAGCTTTGTCTGACTTTGTAACCAGCGTTTTAAAAAAGTCTTTTTTTTTGGTAGAGGCCCTCACAAACGTTATCCTGTGTAAAGTATAAATCAGTTTGAGTGAATTAAGAACAGCTGCCTTTGTTTGCCATGAACAAGGTCAAGCTCGCATCTGCCATTCCTCGCAGCTCTAACCTTTTCATCCTCTAAATAGCTGCAGATTATGAGACCTCCCCCTCCCGAGATGCAACGCTGACCCCGTTCATCGCCTCAGATGTCTCTCCAAAGGAACAGCCAATGGGTGCGCATTATCTTATCGCAACAACGGCCAATCAGTGATACAGAATTTCTCATTTCTAGGAAGAATAGAATGCAACTTGTTTTTTTAGGGGAGGTTTTTTCTCTTCAGTTTTTGAAGACTTTTTATTGTGTGATGCTTTTTAGTCTGACAGAAAATGCTTCCACTGGTTATAAAGTCAAGCAGTTCTGAGATTAACAAAAGAAAAGAGGCAACGAAGCAATCGGACAAAGAAACTGGAAACGCTTCGCCGTGCACGTTGGATATCTGTGGGACCTTTAGTGCGTCGCTCTGCTTGACTGCTGGACTACATTAACAAAACGCTAGATTGCACGTTCATTCAAGTTTTCAGTATTTTCTTCTAAAGCCTGCGTCTTCAGCTTGGGACATTGCCTCTGTCTACCTGCTTTGTGTTACATATAACATGTTTTTTTTTAATCAAAGCTTATTTCTGAAGGTTTTGAAACAAAAACAGTCCCAGTTTTTCAACCCACAGTCGTTATATTCATGTTTTCACGACCACACATAAAACGGGTTTCAGGTTCTCTGGTCAGACTTGTTCGATTTTGGTGAAACGGACCATTTGTTACCTTTTTTTGGTCTGGTGTAAGTGTAGCACTATTTGTGACCTCAGCACTCTGTAAACCGAGTCACGGCCTAACACACAGTTCCCCCATATAGGAGTCGGGCCAATTTCCGGTTTTGCCGGCCTGGTCCAGCGTTTGAACTTAAACCGGTCTGATGCAAACCGCCAAACCAGCATTTGTCATTATGACACGTTCTGGCAAATTAAAAAGTAGCTTACATCAGCAATCTAAGCCGACGGCATCACAGCGCTAAATCCGGCTTGCATTGCATTAGTAATAAGCAATATAACAATGTGATTACCAATATGTTTGTTCATAAAGGGACTAAATAAGCCAATGTGCAACTTACTGCAGAGGCAAGCCAATTGGGCTCTGAGCCAAGCGGGCCACCTAGTGGAATGTGTTGTACAGGTCCGGTGTTTGGCTTCGTATCAAACCGGTTTGAACATGTTTACACTGGCCCAACCCTTCTCCCTATGGAAGTGTTTTAAATCCAATACTTCCACAAACGGCCTGAACTTGCCAGCGCACTTATTGCACATCCAGCAAACAAAGTCTGTGAAAAAGTGGATTCAAACGTTGAGCAAACATTTAGAAAGTAGACAGTTGAGGCATTTGAAGAATACCCAACTGGAAAACTGGTCCCAAAAAAATGTGTCATTGCCCAATGTGGTGTCATAAAATTGCTTTTTTCCCCCCCACGAGACAAAAGATGGCAGGAAATCGTCACAACCAAGCTAATAATGACTTATCATTTCACTTGCCCATTATTATTTATCCGTTGGCGGGCTGGCTACTTTATTGATGACTCATTTAGACTTCTTACCTACATAGGGAAAGCTAGGTGAGCAAGGTACAGAGTGCCGAGGCCACATATGGGACTCGTTTAAGTGCTTCACACACACACACCATCTGTATTTACAGAAGGTCTCTGCTTTCTGTTTACGTACCATTTGGTTTTCCAAAAAGGCTATTTGGTGCGCAAGCACGTGGCCCAAAACTCTGTTTTGTGTGTGGTCTCAAACACCATTCATTTCCTTTTACTTCACTCCTTTCACAAAAAGAACAAACTAGCTGACTCTTTCCCCTCCACACCAACTTTGGTCTCTGGTCCTGATCTGTGACGTTGCCATTTAGACATTGGCAAAAAAACAAACTATGTTCCAGCAAAGCAAAAATAATACAAAAACCCTCTACAGTTAGTATAAAAGCAAGCCTTTTGTCATTCTTTTGAGACTACGAAACTGTTTTGTGTCACTCCCCACCCTCCCCCTAAACCCTTCAGCAGCAGTCTACATGGAGGAACACTTCATAAAATGAGTGTCCGTTGTCTCGTTATGCTACATTATTTTTGCTTTTCGTACGGAGAGGGACAGGACAGACACTTGACATCATTTACCACAAACAAAGTTACGATAAACAAAAAGGAAACATGAAAACTACTCCAGAAACAAGCAAAAGAAGTTCGTAATATAATCATCTGAGGTGCAAACTAAAAGAGAACCGGAAAGGAACCAAAAAATAAACATTCGGGAATGTTTTGTCTTCGTCGTCTTTTTTCATTTTCTGTGTCGAGTTTCCCGTAAAAAGTCTGAGCTGGAGTTTAGGTAGCAGCGGGGTCAATCTGAAACTCTGAAGTGTCCTACTCCGTTTCCTTCCTTCCTTCCTTCCTTCAGTCGCTTATTTTGTTTTTTTCACATTCACAAACATTTAAAACTTCCTTGTGCAAATCAAGCAGTCTTTAGAAAGAATGCCCTCCGAAATTGTTCTTGTAAAAATATATAACTTCAAGGTGGCTGACGTGTGTGTTGCAGCTAGTGTTTAATTTGTTTCTATCTTTATCGGGTCTGGTGTTGGGGTTGCTTTGCATTTCAACCAATCCCCCCCCCCCCCTTCTTCTTCTTCTTCTTCTTCTTCTTCTTCAAGAGGGGGTTGGTTTGTTGTCTATGTGGGGGTTTGGCCGGGTGGGGTTCATCTGCGTCCGGAGGGCATCTGTGCGTAGACGGGGTATGCGAGGCGCACGTTGAGCGAGTCGTTGTGCTGCACCAGGGAGGCCTGGTGGTAGTGGAGCACCAGGTCCTTCAGGCTGCTGTACAGGTTGTACGGTTCAGCGAAGCCGAAGCCGCGCGGTGTGCTGTAGATCACGCAGTGCTTCACCTCACCATCAACACTGAGGACACAGAGAGGACAGGTTCAACTGAGCTGGCTAGTCAGGGATGTAGACCTTAGTCATTCAAGGTCCCCCGCAAGCATTAGGTCAGAATACAGCAGCGCTTTCGCTATTTATTTTTCTAAGTGGCGCTGTCTTTGAACGACCTGGAGGAGAGGCAGTCAGTGCTCATCAGAGGGCTTCCTCGCTTCCCTATTTGTATCATTTCGTAGAAAGAAACTGCTGTTATGATTAAAAGTCTATCATATGGTAGTTATTACAAGGAAAATGGTGAGAGTTTAATTGGTACACTACCTACATATTGCTTCCAATGATGTCTTAACGTAATGTCTTTTCAATGGACAGTCACAATGCTGTTATTTCTGCTATGCAACAATTGTAAAACAGTCATTTGAATTGAGGGGATGATTGCTATCTGCGAACCACTAACTTTCCGTGTGTGTACTCACTTTACAGAGCAGGCGTAGCAGCCCTTTTTGCTGCTCTCTCGGATGAGGAACGCTCCGTCTGGCTTCCCGGTGAGCAGCTCCTCCGCCTGCGTCCTGTTCAGGTCCCCGACGAACCAGCTCTTCTCCTCGTAGTGAGGCAAGTTCTCATCCTCCTCACTCACGAAGTAGCCTCTGCGCGCACACACACACACACACACACACACACACGGTGAACAAGGACTTTATTTAAGCACAGATTCAATTAACACAACAAGTTGCTGTACAGTAGCAACAGTTTGGTAGTAGAGACTCACTCGTCAGTATTTTCGTTCTTGATTCCCAGCCAGTCGTTGATTCGTTTTTGACGAACTCCTTTGTGATTGAGCCAGCTAGATAGATAGAGATAGAGAGACACACTTTACTACTAATAGAGACCTTTTGAACTGAATCCTTTCAGTCACAGCATTGTTTATGACGCAGTGAGCAAACACGAGACGGAGCAGAAATTGAATTAGCGAGCCTCCGACAAATGTTTTCACAGAATGAGGCCAGCTCTGTTGAAATGAAATGAAATGCAATGACTCCAAGACCTAAAGCAGAACAATCTCTGGGAGAACCAGACCTTCAGTGACAGTAAACGCAAGTTTCTAATCCAGCAGCACGACGGTCCCAAAACGTCAGTTTTTTTTTTTAGGCCGTGATTTTAAAGTCTGTAATACTGAAATATAACTCCCGAAACCGGTTGTAGAGCTGATGTGGAGGTCAGCACAAATCATTTTGGGGTTTTCCTGTTTAGCACTAGCTGTGACATGCTTTAATTTAATGAGTCTACATGTGTCAGGAGACCCAAGTTTAACCCGGGTCTCCACACGGTCTGATGCTAGTAAGAAGGACATTTGTGAGTGTTTACCGACTATCCTGTTAAAAAAGGAGCGAGTCTAAGAGAGATTTAGCAGTTATCATAATCATGCTTCCTGAACCAAACCACTAGATTTCATGAAACCCTCATGTAATGACAAACACTTTGTCTGACAGCATCAAACTCTGTTCAATAAGCTGGGCCTGCCTGCCGTAGTAACAACCAGTTACGTCTTCGGTACTTACACTAGGTACTGGTCCCTGATCTTGCGGAGCTGTATGAGGTCGGGCTTCAGGCTGTTCATCTTTTTGTCGGTCTCTCGGTTGTCCATGGCTTGCGTCTTCAGGTCCTGCTCCAGCCGCACCTTGCTGTCGTGGATCTCTCCGAGCCGAGACTTGAGCTTCTCGTAGTTAATCATGATCCTCTCGATCTCCTTGTCGTTGCCCTCGCGCCGGAAGCGCTCGATGTAGTCCTTGCTGTAGCGCTCCTGCGTGTGGCACTGCTCCTCGAAGATCTTGATGGTCTCGTTGAAGGCTTCGATGGCTGTCCGCTTCATCTGGATCTCCTGAGGGAGGGGAGAGGAGGAGGTAAGCGAGTGGACAAGACGGCAAACGTGCACTTCTTTCCTCTTTAGAAAAATGGCAAAACATAAGTCATGACACTTAAGGGCGTGCGTACCTGCGACGTCTTGGTGTATTCTTCGTACAGTCGGTCGTACTCTTTGCTCTTCTCCTGGTACTGATTGTGGTATTCCTGAAGCTTCTTCCCCACAGCGTCAATATTATCCTCCTTCACCAGCTGGTCCTGAAGGGTTGAGGGAGTAGAAATGAAAAACATTAGAGAGCGAGCGGTGCACAGAAACTCAAGAAGTGTGCACGCGCACGTTTGCTACCTTCACCCCCGATTCTGTTTCGCGAGTGCGACTCATTAATTAACCACCCACGATGCCCTGGGTGTATGGCAAGGTATGCCATACACCCAGGTACGGAAGAGGGGGAGGAGGGGTTAGAGAGGAGACTGGTTGGAAAGGTGTTTCCAATATCGTAGAAACTCAGATTAGTAAGAGGGAGTTATGCCCTCAAGATCAACATACAACAACACGATTGAAAAAAAATTCAGATATTTTTTGTTGTTGTCCTTATTGCTTATGATCACATTTGTATCACCAGAGACCAGCAGCAGCCGACACAGCCTTACAGATGAGTCCAGTATGAGCTACCAGAAAGATTTTAAACTTATGTTACTTTAATTTTATTAAACAAATTCCCCAGAAAGCAAAGTGAACACACCTGAACTATCCTTTAAACAGGCCACCCACTGCATCGTAAACTTTGACTTTGCACATAATTACAAAGTATGTGACGGCTGCACAAAAAAAACAAAATTCTTCTGGTTTCAGGCTTTCCACCGGATGGTGAACCGGCTGCAGGGATTTGCTCACATCAACAAGTCCTTTGTTTGTTTTTTTTCTACGATAAAACTAATAAAAGTCCTAACAAACAGATGGTGTGTGTGCATACCTGCTGGAAGCGGGAGATGGGGTACATGAGTTTGACGTCCAGCTTGGTGTTGTACTGAGCCAGAGACTCGTGTCTGTAGTGGCTGATGAGCTCCACTACTGAGCTGAACGTCAGCGGGTCGGAGAAGCCGTACTTCCCGTCCCGATGGTAGATCTTTATCAGCTTGTTGTTTCCCCCTTTCCTGGACGCACAAAAGAAAAGAACATGAGAACATGTCGGCACCGTACTCAAACATTTACGGTGAGAATCAGATGATCCTTCTTAACATTCACACTGACTGCTTCTAGTTCACCCCCCTCAAGCACTTTATATTTCCTGGACGATTTGCTCCAATTTACCAGGATGCCGCGTAAGCAAAATGCTTCTTAACACATGATTTCCCTCAATCTGTAGTTAACTAGAGGGATGGCTGCATAAAAGTGGAGAAGTAAATCGACCACGCTCTTCCAGCCTCCGTAAATCCCCCTGTGGTTTTAAAACACACTGACAAACTGAAGCGAGACCGTACCTCAGCGTGAGTGTGTAGTCGCCCTGCATCTTGGTGGAAGCATCCCGAACCAGGAAGGTCCCGTCCGGCATGTCTCTGAGCTTATCATTCACCTCCTCCCTGAAGACAAAACAAACGATACAAAAAGTGAGTTTGGACTGGTTGAGTGATCTGTGTACAGATGGTTTGTATTTGAAAGGTCTGCCTCCAGTTATCAGCGGCAGGCGATGGAGGACTCTCCCCACAGCCGTACACCTCAAAGTAAATAGTCCATCAATTAAACGATGGAGGGAGGGACTAGCCAACAGCATCACTGCTCTGTGTGTGTGCGCGTGTGTGAGAAAGGTGACAGACTGGCTGTCTGCACCGTAGGTGTGGTTATAGTCCAAGTATGTGTGGATTGTGGCTGAGCACTAACCTGCACTTAGGAGGGTAAGGCAGTGACAAAAGCCTCAGACTCATCACTTTTACGTTACAAAAACACTGATTTTATGAAAAGGATTTCTGTTGATGTTCTGAAACTCAACTCCAAGGACACTGGGAAGTTTGAGGGCTGGACTATATCAAGACGTATATCTTTAAAGTATTTACTGAAACTTTAGAATAAAGTGTAAACCACACAAACATGAATACATCACCCTTTGTAACAACAGACGTTTTGGTGATTTAAGGGATCAGATTTAGATTTTTCAGTTTAAAATATTTGCTATTTAATGCCAATAACTTGAGCGTAAAACAAACGACTCATTTGAACATTATCGGTTGATATAGTAGATAGGTACAATCTGCTCAGTCGCTATGTGTGTTACCTGGATATGTCGCCCCAGTACCACTCGGCCTCTTGCAGTGAGCCTCCCGCTCCTCCGTCCTTGGTGCCGTTGCTGCTGCCCCCTCCCAACCCGACGGAGCAGGGCTGCTGTGGCTTCGCCGGCTTCGGAGGAAGAGCTGGAGGAGAGAAAGAGGCAATATGTTACTATTGGGGAAAAAAAGAAGAGCTGGTGTACATGCACTGTGTAACTTGAACTTTGCTGTAGAAAACCCCCGAGGTCAACCACCCATCCATGACTGCTGATGGAGAGGAAGCGAAGCAGTGTACCTACTCTCCCCATATTTCATTACTTTACAGCGGCATGCGACCAATTACACCAGAAGAGGCTGGAGAATGTTTTCCATTCATCCCCAAACATGCACACACACACTTCATATGCAAATTGTAACACAGCAGCTGTTTTTTTTTTTTTTTTTTACACCTCCACACAAATGCTGGAGCGGTGCAGTTGGTGAGCGTGTTGCTATTAATCACACAGGCCCAACAGTGGAATGACAAGTACAGCCCATACATCATCACAGTAATTATTCTGTCATAAAGCACATGCAACACACACACACACACACACACACACACACACACACACACACACACACACACACACACACACACACACACACACACACACACACACACACACACACACACACACACAC